AACAAAGAAGTCACGTGTCATTAATCCAAATTCCAAAAGAGGTAGTTATGGGGACATAACCCTCTGCCACTTCCTTGCCAAGCCTCAAGTTAATGTTACCCGATAATTATATGTTTAGGTTGTTTTCAGAATTGCTTATAGATGTGGGAATATTTTGGGTTGATCAAGTACATATTTCCATGCACTAGCCTTTAATATTACCTCCAGTCCTTAATACAAAAACTAGTTAAAGATTTAATTTGGTCTTAAATGTAAGAATTTAATTCATTTTGTCTCTCAAATTTGTAGCATATGTTTTTTTTCTCCCTAAAACATCCCTACTAATTGTAAGTGTTCCCAACAAAGGATAATTCCAATGCATATGATTAAATGGGGTAGTTTAAGAAAGTCAATACACATTAACTAACTTGACTAATTTTATTGATCTTCTCAAATTAGTTATATAATTCTTATACGTTCTCCGGTTCTTTTTATAAGAGCCTGAAATTTGAATTGCCTTGATCCTTTTTATAAGAGCTTATTTAGAATAGTCTGAACATTTAATGTATTTTTACTGTTTTTGTTCCTAATTAATTTTATACATTGCATTAATTAAAAAGTTGACAACTTGGTATATTACCTTCTCTTTTATACTTTCTCTCATTATTACTTTATTTTTCCCTCTTACTTGCCCCCTCATAAATAAGGGTATACTTAAAAAAAAAGTTCATTTCTTATATATTTATTACTTTTAACTAATTTAAACTATTTTTTTAATCATGTAATTTCGTTATTAGGCTCTTATAAAAAAGACCAGAAGGAGTATTAAGGATTGGAGGTAGTATTTAATTTCTGTATGGTTTCAAGCCATAGCCTATTGCATTAAAAAAAAAATAAAGAAAGATCATTTGGCAGTGGAATGATCGTATCGGATTTCTTTAAGGGAGAGAGAGATATATATAAACTGACGGGATGATTGAAGAAATTTTCAAATTCAATGCCATACTAAACGCTGGAGAAACGGTCATCAATTATGATCCTCTCTTTTTTTTTCCCGTACATCTCTTAGCCTTAGATTATTGAAAGAGGCACTCAAATTCAATATGCAATTTCAGTCATAGACAATATTGTAGCTGGAAAGAGGATTTACATACTAGCTCTAATTCTTAACTAGTTCTTAATATAAAATATAGTTTGTAGTACAATTTTGAACTATAAACTAGATTTCATATTAAAGATCGAAAGAAGTATTTGCAAATACATTAGTGTCGGATTCATTATAAGAGGAAGGATAGGCACTTGGGAAGACTAGCTTCTGGTTTTATGTCATTTGATTGCCAAAGTGACTTACTAGTATTTGGTAAGAGAGATAGATATGTAAGACTAACGTAAGAAATGAAATTTATTATTATGTGTTGACAAAAATTAGCATTATCGTTCAAGCACACATTTGGAAATTGATTAGTAATTAAAAATATCATAGTTTTACCCTCCATGATAATATACTGCTGTAGGGAACCCTTTCAACATCAATTAAGGACGACTTTTAACGTCGGTTTTAAGAAGACGTGTGTCATTTCAAACCAAGAACAACATGCTTCCCAGTATAGCTTCATCTCTCACCCGAACATTACCATACAAATGTGCAGTGGCTCTAGAGTGAACACGTTCGTTTTGATTTCCCCAAATAAGCCAGGAGACTATAAAGAAAATACCTTTCCAGTAGCAATCTCCATATATAAAGTTACAACTCATATTCTTGTAAATTTGCACTGAATAAGAGAGATTATGTATTGTAATTATTTATTCATTTCGATTGATGATTTATAATTTCAACTATAACAACTCTCTTTCACGCGTTTTATGTTAGAGAATATTCGAGGGAACATACCAAACTTCAAACAACAACAAATGCTTCTTTGTTTAAACATACCACAATTATTTACAGAAATTATTTATGAAGTTTTAATGAAGGGGCATTAATTAAACTTGTTAGTTTTAAGATGATGATGAAGCAAAAGCGACGCGAAAGTTTTGCACCTTCGAAGAATTTTCAACAACACAACACTTGTGTCCCATTTCCAACTGAACACCATCGTTTCAAACTTTCTATATATATATATATATGTATATATTGATTTGAGAAAGTAGTAGTGCGTCTACGTAGAACTCCCTGCAATGATCTGGAATTGTATTGATGTTAATAGTCTGAGAAAATCTCAAATATTAAGTCTGAGAAAATCTCAAATATTAACGGATTTAATTTATTGAATATTTTTTATGAAAGTTTTAAAGAAATTATACAAACAATTTAACGTTTTACCGTTATGAATTATATTTATCGATATGTAGCCCCCCTTTAGCCAAATCTATTTATCCATTGTGGGCTTTGAAATACTAGTATTGCGCTTTTTTCATGTACCACATCGTATATTTATATATGAACATCAAAGTATGTAAAGAATTAATAGCAACGCCAGCCCAGGAGCCTTCCTTCGCTTGGTAGGGAGTGGCAGTTGGTTTTGACTACGTAACCCTCCCTTTTTGTTATTACGCTTGGTTTGTGCCAAAAACAACATTGCTTTATATATATAAATATAATCTTAAAAGCCTGTGATTCATTTTTTATGAAAAAATCTAAAGAGTGTAGTGACTCCAAAATTACCTTTGACCAGTAGCAATCTCCATGTATAAAGTTACAACTCATATTTTTGTAAATTTGCAGAGAAAAATTTCCTGTGAAGAGAAGACTTGATGATAGCCTCCCACAAAGAACAGATTTTTAAGTTAATGGAGAGATAAGATTGCAAATATATATTTGTGATGGACAACAAGCATTTTATGTCAATTTCCCAAGCTAATTTTCCCCCACAAGTTTGTGTAAGACTTCCCATTTAATTTCGCAGCAAAAGCATAACGTGGCCATCTACAAAGAGAATGTGTTACTAATAAAAGAGAATAATATTGGGGAAAGTATAAATAATTTTCTGGTCATTATCGTCAAAAGGGAGCCCCAAAAAACTGCCTGCACTCTAGAAACTAGATATCATAGCAAGTCTCATTTTATTAAATGAGATGGGGGGCAAGGATTATTTATCAGTAATTTACTCTTTAAATTATAGTAGCCATGTTGGATAGAAAGAATTTGATTGTCCTTAAACAAAGTTAAGAGTTCAAACCTTGTGAGTGGAGGGAAAAAAATCATGTTAAAAGAGCTACCTCAATTGAGTCGCACAATATCCGAATCTTGTCATCCAACAATACTTAAATCTAACATGATAATTTAAGGTATCATACTATTATTGTATGAAAAATTTAAATATATTATTTACCAATAGATATTAAAAAGACCTACCTATGCACATACTATTGAAGGCAACTGAAATGGATGTGATTAAAACCATTTGCCTGATAATTAGTAGTACAGGACACAACCTATATGTGATCTTATGGCATGCGCAACTTCCAGGTTGCGATAGATATGCAGCTAATAATATGCTGTGAAATAGGGCAGAAAAATGGTATTATGCGCGTATCATATATCATCGAGGGGAGTTTTTCATGTCCCACACTGTCTGTTTTAATAAGAAAATTATTCTATATAAGTTAGCAATCAGCTTGCCAAGCTTCGTCGGCTTGCTAGGGGGTGGCAGCGGGATTATGTCTCCATAACCGCCTGTTTTGGAATTAATGACACGTTGGTTTGGGCGTGAAAAGAAAATTAATTTCTTCTTATATTTAAACTGAAAAACCCTCATTTATTTTTTATAAAAAAATCCCAAAATATTAGTGGCTCCAGAATAAACATTTTACAAATGTGTAGTGGCTCGAAAGTGAAAATAGATGATGGTATTTTTGACATTTTAAGCCAAGTTTCATTGTCTGTTTTTCAAAAGCAGACATGCTACGTCTGTTTTCTGAAAACACAGATAGAAACAGCTTTATTTCATTATGCCCTTATTCTTAATTTTCATTTTCATTGGTGTCTTGCTCTTCATGTTCCTCCAAAAAGGATGGGGTGATAACAAGATAGAATTGAAATTAAAGAAAACTGAAGGAAAGAAAGGATTGCAAAAAATCGGAAAATCCTGTTTCACAAAGCTTGCCTCATCGTCGTGAAAGATTCCGTGAATGGGCAATCTTTGAGCTTGCATTGGCCTAAATTTTTTCTCCCTGTATAATAGAGTAATTCTCATGTGCCCATGAGAGCTGTTGTGGTCTTCGTAATCTCCTTGTATGCCATTTTGATTTTTATATAATCAAGATGTTGTGCAACCTAAATAATGAACAGATGAATAGCAGCAAGCTCTATGATCTGCCTTTGTTCACTATATCTGGATTGTGGAAGTTCGAAAGTGTTCGACCATTTCTTTGTTGTTGACAATGTTTGGATTGATAATGGCATTTTCTTTGTTGTGCAAGATTTTCAAGTTCATCGAGCAACTCTAGGTTAGAATGAAACGCGTATGATTTCCTATAAGCAAAGTTGTAGGTGTGAAGCCTGCGAATTAAAAGGAAAAGAAAAATTAACTTTTAATTCTTATAATTTTGACTCGATTACATTTTAACTCAGTACAACTTAATTTTTAAATTTTAACGTGGTTATAACTCACTTCTTGAACTTGGACTTGATGCAACTCAATATCTATAAGGATTTAATTGCATTGAGTTCGAGTTTAAGAACTAAATTACAACTAAGTCAAAAATTCAGAAACTAAAAGATACATTTTTCAAACAAAAACCATCATTATGAAATAGTTACTCCCAATTAGATTAAACAATGGTTAAGTTTAACCAACAGTATTAAACCGTAGACAATCGTATCAGCAAAAAGGACAAAAAAAAAAAGCATGCGCTCTAGCAGGAAAACCCATGAAGAACACACACAGATACATACAATTAGTTTTTAACTTTTATATCTCAAATCATGAATATTTAGGAACTGTTTGGATGGAGACCAAACTATAGATTTAAAAATAATTTCATCATAAATGAAATAAGTATAGAAATAGAGTTTTGTCTCGACTTGCATGAAAATACATTTTTAAGTGATTATGGGATATCCAAACACCCTCTTAGTACATCATGAAATTGACAACGAAGACGTTCTTTTTTCGCAAGGGATCCACTGTACATAGTAATGGGCCTATAAACAAACTTTAGAACCTACAAAATCAATTCAGAAGTTGAACCAAAAACAGAAAAAAGTCAAAAGGCCAATGGGGAAAAGGACGCTGCTTGGTGGAAATACTACACAATTATTTAAGAACAACTGCAGCATTCCTCAGAGCTAAGTACTTCTGTACATACTCACTGGGAAGCGATCTCACTGTTCTAAAAACTTCGGCGTTTGCATATCGGAGTTTAGTCCTAGGATCATAGTAAGGTGCCTGCAGGACATTAATCATTTAATCATTTCTTCAGTACAAGTTCCCATGGCACTGGCAGCATATGTGGCAAAACAAGACAGCGAGTCCCATGACTTGCACCAAGTCTAAGGTGAGAACCACACAAAAAATGATCTGGTATGATAGGCAAATTAGAATCACATAGAACAATGATCCGTGCAACTCATATAGGAACAAAAGCGTCTTTGTCCAATCAAGAGAACAGATGAATCAGATACTAAATTAATTTTTTTAGTTCCCAGTAAACAGAAGGGGGGGGGACTGTAGATGATTATCCAAACCAGGATATCAAAAGTTCATGTTGAAGACGTTTTTGTCCTATTGATTACTTGATAAGCATAGACAAAATTAAAAGGAGTCGTGATTAAATGTATATTTCATTTTGTTTTCCTGTTGTAGTGTAAGAAAATATGAAAGGGTGGGAGAAGTTCAACACGGGATAGCAAAAGACAATAAATAGGGTATAAATGCATGGGTAGGCCCTTCACTTAAGATCTTAAACTTTTCAGTTAAGTTGGTACAAGCCTCAGCCTTTCCGGTCACCCCCTTCCCACGATCAACAATTTCCATTACTTTTTTGTTAGAAAATTCATCAAAAATTTCAAAACAAAGAAATATATGACATGCTAAGTACATCAAGTGAAATATCACAAACCAAAACAAATAAAAATTGTAACATACCTCAAATCCTGTAATGTCACAAATTCTCTTACAGGGATGCATAGAAGGGGGTGACTCAATACTGATATCTGCGAAGCAGCAATAAATAAAAATCAGATGATTGAAATTTTCCTTATAGGTGGTGCCATCAAGATGTTTAAAACTGACTAGATCGGCCAGTTCAATCAGTAAACCAGCAGACACACCCTGATATACAAGCTCAACTAGCCTGCCTGAGAACTGACAAAACCAGTATCATTGTGAATGAGACAAGCTTGACCAGTCAAGCACATAACCAAATGACATGATTTCAATTTGACCGGTCAAGAATTAATCGGCAAAATGGAAGTGGGATTTGAACTCCCCCATATTCTGGGGAAAAAAATGAGGAGCCTCGTCAATACTTTATGTTAAGCTCTTTGAAAAGCAAGTGCATGCCATGTTAGTTATTTTAATGTCAAGGTACGGTGAAATAAACAGCATAAAATACAATAAAGAATTATCATATTATAAATTTAAAACTTATCTTACTAAAGCGGTACTTAAAATTGTCAACCATCCCATATACCTTCAGTACATCATTGAACCATGAGCTGTTCACCTTTATGATTCAATCAGAGGTCGAGTTTTAAAACATTGGCCTCAGGCTCTAAAATTAAAGAATATGATACAAATCAATGTATGTACATCATTGACAACTAATCGCAGAACCCAATATTGAAATTATTTCAAATTTTGGAACATCTTAACTCATTGTAAAGAAGAGTTCCCACATTTAGCTTAGAAATCAAAATAATTGTTTTCCAAAACTGCCCTAATCCATCGCATAATTCAAATTTTGTACAAAATCAAATTAAAATTAAGAGGAAAGGACCCGCAGGCTACAGTATATGGATTTCAGAATACAGTATAAAATGCATACATAGACTACCAAGTACAAAAAATGGATCACTTTCAACAGTCAAAAAATGACATTGGTTTGATAACTCACAAGTAGGCTCATCGGGTGGGTAATTTGAGTAATTCTCAGATTGAATGATCTGCTTAAGATGTTTCCAGTGCCTGCCTCTGGATTGGCCCTTGGGGTATTTCTCATACATTTGCACCCGTTTAAAACTAAGGTAGGTTGGCAACACTATCTCTGCCTCCACTACCTCTGGCTCCATCATTTTTTGCTTCTACAACATTAGTGCAATATCAAGGTAAAAATGTTTTAGAAATTAATATAATAATTAAGAAACAGATAATAGCATCCATCTATACACATAAAGTTATTAACAAATTGTTTGTGTAAGAAACCAGAATCATGCCCCTAAACACTAAAGACCAGGTTTGAAGTGTTTTTTCCCCTGCTTTCACAAAATATGAATCATTTTGTTAGTGAATTAATCTTGTTTCAGCTTTGTTACTTCCCTTCCCAGTTTTACAAATGAATTTGTTTTAATTTTCTTCAGCCTGTATGGCATAAAATTCATACAAATTTTTAGTAATTGAATGCAGAAACCCTGTTCTTTGAGTTCCAGCTTCAAACTTTCAACTATTCTAATAGCTCATCATCACATAGGCTTTTGTAATGGAAGGCAAACCTTCAAGAATATGCGCAAACAGTCGTTCTATAGCTAGAGAGAACTATCTTGATTACTAAAATAAATGAATAATGCTGCCACTCATATGGAAGAAGTTGCTCCTCAAGCTTCTTTACGGTTTTCAATTAATTTTTTGTTTAATAGGGATTTTCCTGTTCAGCACACAGGGGGATTAATTGCTATCTTCCATGCTTTTTTTGAATGTGATTTTTCCTTTTTTTCTTTCCTTCAGTCGTTTGGAATTAGGATATCAATACATTTCTTATTCCCTATATAAGACTTATTTCTGTCTCCACTAACTATAACGTGAGTAAACCACTGATATTGCTTCTTGCTTCACAGAAAAAGTAAAAACAGATTTCATAAATAAAGTCTAGCCTGTCATCTTTAACTGAACGCATCAAGATGGAAACAAACTTAATTGCAATGAATGAACGCCTACACATTGGCTTCATATCTCCTATCACTAACAATGCTAATGATCTTTGGTTTTTCACATTTTCTTTCTTAGTCTTACGTTACATTTTCAACACTTGAACCCAAGAGGTAAGAGATCTGCCCAAATATTTGGGCACCCTTACCACCTGAGTCAAGCAAAAGGTAAAAACAAAATGCAATATTACTTCGACATCAGAACTCAGTAGCATGCACCCAAATGTAAAAAGAAGCATTAGTAACCCCTAAACATTATATCAGTACAAGGACTGCATGCAGCATCACATAATATAATAGCCCAATGTAAAATGCAACAACATAGCAACATGAGGAGTTCCAGATCCTATGTCGAACAGACATGGACATCATCATCTAAAGTACTATACGCAGATAAAATTTATTCATAAAATCAAGTAACCATATAAAACTAGGAACTAGTAGTGTTATAACCAATATTACAACATTTTTTCCCTTTTTGGGCAAAACTACTACTACAACAGCTACATCGAGCAAAATCCACAGGAAGTTACGAAAAGTTACCTTCCGGCTTTCAGCATCCAAAACTGTTTCTGCTCAAGTCAACAACAAAGATCGAAACCAATGAAGAAAAATAGAGAACCCTATGGCAATAAGATACCTTACCTCTAATATCCTTAAGCTCGGAAGCAAAATAGAGTGACAGCCTGACGGGATATGCTTAACTTCAAATTTTAACAATTCTGAAGAAAACCTCTCGGATGAAACTGGAAAATTACTATAACTGACAGATTCCGGCGCTTGACGCCGCTGAAGCTATCTGGTCTAGCCCAGTCCGCCCGAGCTGGACCGGACCGGACAGGACTGAACAGGAGACTGAACAATCAGACTAATTGGACCCGGCCCTAAATATATATATATATATATATATAAATAAATCACAAAAATCAAATCGCCGCAGACGACGTCGTGTTTGAGGCTCTGGTCTCAGACTGGAATGTGTTCGACTTCGGAGATCCCCTCATAGTTTCCACTATCTCTGCGCCTCTCCCTCCAGCGGTCCACCATCTCTTCTTTCCAGGGTGAGTGTCTTCCCTTCGGCGTCTTTTCAAACGGAACCCCCGATCTGAGCTGTTTTTCTACCATGTTTTTGCTTCTCGAAGATTCCCTTTGAAGATTTCAGATTCTGTGTTTATCACATTGGGGTGATTCTATTACTGAGCTCACTTTCTTGTTTTGATCAAAATTGGGCATGGAAGTAAAAAACTTAGCTTCACTGTTCAACCTGAAATCACCACAAATCATTTATAAGCTAGTGCTCTAAAGGTGCTGTAGGGATTACGAAAGGGATATCACTGTAATTTTCTGTATTTTTTGCAGCCAATGCTTCTGGAGATGGGGAAATTAACTGAAAATAGGTTAATTTTCACCCAAAAAAAATGTCTAGGAGCGTTCATTTTCTTAATTATCTTTTTTGACAAAGCTTTTATTTTTTTGGAATGAAAAGCTTTTAGCTAGTGACGAATAATGTCAGAAAAATGTGAGCTACTTGCACATTTGCAGTTTGCGTTGTACTTCATCATTCTATGGTTATTCTTTACTTTAATTTTCGCTTCTGTGATTTGATGTTTTGTAATTCAATCTCAAAGTTATTCACATCAACTTATTTTGGTTATCTATCTTTTGATGCATTGCCTTTGTTGCTGTTTAAAATTCTTTGTGAAAGTCTGAAAGATTGCGTTACAGGGTATACTAGTTGGATGCTACAATGCAATATAAAACACATTCTGTTAATCTAGTTGTGGGCGGGTAAATATTGCCTTTTTAGAAGCTGAAAGAGTTTATGTGACCTTTTAACTGCTTGGCTTGCCTAGGCATGGGGTGAGAGTGGGTTGATAGTGATGCTCCTTTAAAAGGAAATGCAGATAAGAATTTTGGTCGCCACTTTGCAATGGCTTTGGTCTTTAGTTTTATGTACACTTTTTGCTCAAAATTTTATATTTACCAAGCATGGAACGTTATTCTGCTTTAATCATCCCGGATGTAATTATCAAAAGATCTAATTGGTATCACGTATTCATAGAAGAATCTCGTTTCAATATGCTTTACAAGGATCTAATTTCCATTGGTTTCAGGTAGCCTGAAGCTTTTGAGAGCTGCGTTGATCTGATTCCAGCACAAGTTGCAGATAGATACAAAACAAGCAGATGGTAAGCTCTTTGCACATCTAAAATTGCTGGGTTTAGAAATCAATCCTCAAAAGAAGTAAAAAAAACTTGAAGATAGAGCACAGTAAACTATGCCCAACGACCATGTTTATTGAATCTGCCAATGACGATTTAAATATGTAAAATGATAATAAAAACAGAAAAATTTACTCATATCCACTAAAACAGCAACTATGCTGCTAAATATTCAGGACAAACTTTGACAGAAACAGGCTATTCATTATTATTTTCGAGCTACAACTAATTCCTAATAGTCAGTAACTAATCCACGTCAGCTAATGAGGCACATCTCAACATTTTTTTTTCCCAGTTCCTGCTTATGGTTCCTTTTAAATTGCACTGGTATGCACCTGAATGATGGTTTCACTTGTTTTTGTTTTTCATCTAGCAACAACTCGAGATTCCTGAGCTTTAGACTGATATATCTATATGTCTATTCTACTTTTGACTCTACATAGGAGTGAGATTGATGCCTTCTAAGTTGATGTATGCATCTTTTATTTCTTTCCCGTAAAACTTTGGAACCACAAGAAGTATCCGCCAGCTAGGAATGCATTAACAAATTGGTTTACGCATCTCAACTCAACTCCCCCCCCCCCCCAAAAAAAAAGAAAGAAAAGGAAAAGAAAAATCTTCGGCATCCTTAAATTTTCATCCCTTATCTCTCTGTATGTGATTTTGTTTATTAAATATTCCTTCCACTTATCATCAACAACAACAAGAACAACAAAGCCTTATTCCACTTATCTTCATATATGCAAAATTTGTAAACTAAGGAATGCGATGGAAAACTTAGAATTGAAGTTTATTTTGTGTTTAGTAATTGTCAACAAGTTTGACATTAAGTAGGTTTCAGATTATTTCCTACCTATTCGTCTTTCCGATCTTATCTTTTATTCCTCCATTCTTCCCCAGTTCTTTCCCTCTTTCCGCTTTTCCCTTTCCCCTCCTAGATATTTGTTAGGTGGTACAACAACAGTTACAATACGCCTTCACTAAGTGGGTTTGGCTTCATGGATCAGACAATGTGCTCTACGAACAATATATTATTTAGTAAGAGATCTCATTTGATAAGAAGCCTTATTCCAATGTTTGTTAGGTACAACATTGGGACAAAATCCTGGCAACATCATACTGAAGGGAAAGCCAATAAAATCTATCATTGACTAATGCTATGGTCTCATCCTTACCAAAATGTCTAACTAAGCCCTAGCATGCTATTCCCAAACAGAAAAATCTCTCATGATTGTCTGCGGAATGGGCAACTTAGTGATATTGAAGGGGTAAGCTTCCCTAACGAGGAAGAGTTTCGTTACATAGATGATGCCTTGTGTCATCTAAGCTCTCTTCCCTCCAAAACCGAAGACATGTATAGAAAAGTATATATATATATATATATATTAATTGGGTTTATTTTGTGTTTAGTGATTTTCTTTGTTTTAATAATTTGGATTTTCTTTAAACTATTTTAAAATAAGATATCTAGGTTATTTTTTAAAATTAATTTATATTTCTGTCTCAATAGCCCTGGGGTTTATCATTTTTCAAACTCTATGGCCTGTTGAATGTTATTAAGATTATACACCATCCACTTCTCCTTTTGTTCTTCTCTTTTCTCCCCACTTTCCCATGTCCTACATCAGTATTTTATCTTTATGGTCACTAAAACAGTGAAGAGCCAGCATAAATTTTATGCTTATCAGTTAAGCTGCTACCTTTTAGTGTTGATTGGCTGATTTTAGAGCCTTGACTTAAAGTAATGTCATATCGTTGTATCACTGTACTGATCTTTTAATTCCTAGCCTTGTGAAAGCTGATGACTTAACCTTGTTTTTGAATTTGAACGGGGAGGAAAAGAATTGTGATAAATTCTTGGTGACACTATCTTTAATCTCATGCAAAATTTCATTTTCTCTTCACACAATTTGTTCCTGTCAAGTAGCTCATGTTGTCTTATGTGTGATCTTCTCCCTTTCCCCTAACAACCACTTCTTTTAAAATAAGGGGTCTTTTACTCTCTGTGTGATTCTAAGTTTAACTAAACTGTAACAGCCATCCATGACTATTGTTACTTGGTCTTCAACTTCGGTTTGGGTACTGGAATTTCAGATCACCTAAATTCCTTTCCTCAAGCTTGCTTTCGTGCACCTAAGTTTTAGATTTCAGAAATTGAATAATTGGCTCACCTATTTTGACAAATGCAACGATCAACATCATATATTGCTTAGGTAACATCTGTTGACATTGAAAGCGATAGCTAAAAGTTAATGTTTATTGTCTAATTAGACAATTAAATAGAATACGATTTTTTTGGGGTCCATTGTTCTTGACTCAAATATCCCTCTAGGTTTATGTCTTTGTTCAAATATATGATAATCCAATCCTCTATGCAGGTTGTATAAAAATTCAAATAATCTGATCCTTTTATCCCTTGTTTCCTGGATCCTTTTTACTTGATTATTATTCTGTATTGGGTTGTCTGCTAATTTCTTCCCTATATTTTCATTTACTTCTGATTTGGAGATTAGTTCTTCTCTGCTAAACCTAATCCATGAACAGGTCTACGTGCCAGCATTGCAAAGGAAAGTTTATAGGCTTTTATCCTCCTCCAGCACTTACAGGCTCTCTCTTCCACGTTGCACATCTTCTCCATTGCACTTCTCTTGTGCTTGTTCAGAGGCATCATGGCTTAGGACCATACGCCACTTTAGTTCCTCTGATGACCATAATTGCTTCATCAAACGACATATGAGAGACCCTGATGGGTCTTTAAGTTTTGATGACAAGGGTGCCAGTGACAGAATCCAACAGCATCCTTCGGAACCAGTTCCAAATAGGCCTTCAAGAAGTGACCACCAGTTTGATCAGCCTCCTCCGAATTTTCGAGAATTTAGCAGAGGCTCCCGTTCTTTCACTCCAAGATCTGATAGCCCACTCGGTGATGCTGAAAAGTCAAATATATATTCCCAATCCACTGCTGGATTTCGGGGTAGAAACATGGGTGTAGGAGCAAATAAGGAAGCCCCGAAAATGGACCAAAGTTTTCTTGAGAAATTCAAGCTTGGTTTTGATAATAAGAGATCTAAGCCCTCAGAGGATGCAGGAAGCAGCCAATTCGAAGGAGAGAAAAAGTCAAGCCCTGATGAACCAGCTCCAGACTCTATACCTCAGGATGCTGATGAGATCTTCAAGAAGATGAAGGCAACTGGTCTAATCCCCAATGCAGTGGCTATGCTTGATGGTTTATGCAAAGATGGTCTTGTTCAAGAGGCCATGAAACTTTTTGGCTTGATGCGGGAGAAAGGTACTATTCCAGAGGTTGTCATATACACTGCCGTTGTGGAAGGCTACACAAAGGCCCATAAAGCCGATGATGCAATAAGGATTTTCAGGAAAATGCAAAACAATGGCATTTCACCAAATGCTTTCAGCTACACAGTCCTCATAAAAGGACTCTACAAGTGTAACAGATCGCAAGATGCTATTGAGTTTTGCATGGAGATGTTAGAAGCAGGTCATTCTCCAAATCTATTGACTTTTGTAGGTCTAGTTGACAGTATCTGCAAGGAAAAAGGCGTAACCGAAGCTCAGGGTGTTGTCAGAAGATTAATGGAAAAGGGTTTTAATCTTAATGAAAAAGCAATTAGAGAATTTTTGGACAAAAAGGCGCCATTTTCATCTTCAGTTTGGGAAGCCATCCTTGGGAAGAAAACCCCACAAGGACCATTTTAGATGTCTTGGTAGACACTGAAGCTATTTTGGTTTATATCTTTTGTTGAACGATCACGGCTTCGAATCTTTATTAAACGCTAATATTTAGTCCTTGTCTCTGTTAAAGCTTCAAGCTTTTCAAAGATTCAAAATTGCTCCACTAAGGTGTTATGCATCAAGTTTATGAAGTTTAGCTTTTTGGCGAAGCATGCGATCCGGTTACCATTCTTACCGTGAACAAGTCCACCATGTGATTGTTTGTCTTCTCTGGTTTACTAATTTATCTATATTAAGGTATACCTGACCCATTCAAGGAAATGATTTCTTAGGCTTTGAAAAAGGCACTTGGAAACGCACGTTATTTTATGTAATTATGTACTATTTAAAGCTATTTTTGTAAACTATTCTTATAGAAATCTAGTTTCCTTTTTAATTGTGAATCATGAAACTTTTTTTGATTAAATAGGCAATTAAAAATTTTAAAATAACTTTTCTTTCAATAATTAAATTTTACAATCACCTATTGTAATTTGTAAGTCAATTTTGCTATCAAAATTTGCCACGGGTCGTGTATTAATCTTGGCATTACCTTAGTTGGATCTAAGTAATGCTCAGGAAATGCGTAAACCTTATCTTTGAGCCCAAATATATAGGTTTGGATATTAGCGTTCTTGGGTCCAAGGAAGGGACTCAAATTTCAAGGTCGGTTGGGATCAAAAGTGAATTTTGGACATACATATTCCAACCAGCATATCCTGTTTACAAGATCAACCATCCCAAGCTAAACATAAGGGTCGTTTGACAGTTTTCGCGTTTTACGCCCATTCGAATTAGTTGTAGACAATCTATTTTGCACCATGTAAAGTAAATATGCCAAAAAAAAAAAAAATCTCGTAAAGCATAAAAGCAATTTTTAAACGGATCCAAATGAGTTGGGCTTCTCTCTTATGCTCTCACCGCTTGCTACCATCTTTTACCCCCCAAAACCAGTGAAAATTAGACTGAATGAGGTGGTTCAACTGAAAAACTGATAAATTAGCTAGTGATTTGGTTTGGTTCAAGTAATAAATCAACTTGAATCGGCATTAACCCGATCAAACTGGGGGAGGGTGAACCGGTAAAAATTGATGTGAATGGTGATGAACCAGTTTGGATGATTACCTTACTATTGATTTTTTTTTTTTTCCTCATTCAGGTCCTAATATCTCAATCACTATAAATTTGAATGAATTTTAATAATAATTTTGGTATCAATGACTATTAATTTTAGTTAATGAGGAATCTTAAAAATCGAAATTCTCCATGTTATTGTATCTTGTTATTATTATAATCAAACCACTGTTGTATTTTCTTATAATTTGTCATCAGTAATTATTAATATTGTTATACTTTGATATTTTTAATTAAATTATATTATTTTAATATGATCAGTTTGAACTCGAGTTGACCCTGTTCTAACCCACTGACCTTTGAACCACTCTCTGAACTAGTTTAGTATCCAGTTCGATTTTTTGTTGCTTGCCCAAAACCACATTGTTTTGGGACCCTAAAATATTTTTGTATTTTCTTAAATTAATTGTTAGTACACTCAGCATAGTAAAATATTTTTCTACTAGCACCCCATATCTAACACGTTACTCTGAAATATTTTTCAATAATACCTAATATTTTAAAAGTTTTTTTCGTAATATTTAGCATCTAACATTTATCACACTGAAGTATTTTTTTAATAGCACCCAATATTTTAAGCTAATTTTTAGTACATTCAATGTCCTAACATATTTTTCTAGTAGTAGTTAGTATCTTGAAGTCAATTTTTGTGGAATAGTATATATTATTATCAAAGCACATTATTTAATAAAGAAAATCATGATGAAAAATAAAGTCTAGGCTGGTAGGTGCAATGTGTTTTATTCAATTTTATTTTTGGTAAATCCTAATTTTTCTCAATTTGATGTCCTATTTTCAATATTTTTTTAAAGAGGGTAAGTAATAGGACATGAAAAAAAATAATTATAATTTTATTATATTTCTAAAATAATTATAAATTATCAATTTGGCATAAGAAGAACTAGGTTCCTATCTTTTTCTCTGTGCCTAAACTCTTTTCTTTTGACAACTAAATGCAGCTTCCCTCAAACCATCCGCAACCGCCGCATCAACACATCTGTTGATTTTCCAACGTCTCATTGCTGCGTCTCCACCACCATCCTCCTCACCGTTGCAAACAAATTTGATCAGATTTCCCAACTCATGACTTTCCTGCCATAACCGTCAGCCAATAGTCCCAGATCCCGAATTTTTTATGTCAAATCACGACACCACCAGTATAGTTAGAATTGCCCTCATGAACACGATCTGAACCCAAAGTTGACCAAAATCAAAAAGAGCCTCCACACCCCTCCATGTGCCTCCTCAACGTCTACGAGTGAATTCCTCGTGCATCACATTGTATTTCACAAAATTTACATTTCGTGACCCAAAGTTTGGGAAAAAATTACACTCTGACCCAAATTTTTGGAAACAATTACAATTTGACCCAGATGTCCGACAAAATTACACTTTAAACCCAGAGTTTAGGGGGAATTAAACTTTTGGATCCATTTTTGTAAAATTACACTTTTGAGCCATTTGGCCATTCTTCAATTATGTACCTTCCTAAGCTATTGAAAGATTGGGATATATTTCTTTTTCAATTTCTTTATTATATTTATTTGTTTTATTTAGCCTCTCTAATTTAAAAAAAAGGAGGGAAGGAAATTTAAAAAGGGAGAAGAAAAATTTAGATGGTAGAAAAGTTAGTTTAGGGAAAAAAAAGGAGAGTAAGAAAAGAATTGTTATGCTACTTAGTTTTAAGTATAAGTTATAAAGAATACCTTTACAGAAAGCTTCACTATACACATGACACCCCATATAAGGATATTGATCATGACTGTACTAGATACACTACTCACACTTACCGGTATGTCAACCAGGTGCAATATGACTATGTTGATTGTGATGATTACATTGCCTAATACTATGCTAATTCTACATATCATTACTGTTATGAGTATGTCATGTAACGACAACTTGGTTGCAAGGTGCAAATAGAATAACTTGAAGCTAAACTTGACTACTAGAAATAATCATGTAACTATGCACCCAGTAAGTTTGAAAAACGAGTTAATGAGGGAATTGATAAGCTTATGAAATTCATCAGTAATTCAAAGAATCAAGTGGAAAAGGCTCTCCAAGTAACTAAACTAATAAGGATCAAAGCTCATTCATTAAACACGAAAGAAGATATTGTAAAAGTGAAGTGGTGCCTACAACTCATGTAGAGCCCATTCATATTACTCAACAGGCACCACTGGACATGTCTGTGATTCAATTGAGCGAGACCCTTGATCTTATTATCGTTAACGGTAAAAAAAATTTCAAATACTGATCAGATTGTTCGATTGGCACAAGTGTAAGTAGTTTCTTCTTATATTGTGGCCAGCAAGAATCAGTTTCATTATTCTATAGTGACATCTCGTTTGAAACATACACCTCCTAAGATTGCCTTATTATTGAACAAATCACTCCAACGGTATCTTGTACACTGGAAAAGTTTTCTAGATACTATCCAAGATCCAGTTGCTCATTGTTGCCAATGGTTCCTCTTTTGGTACCTTCCTCATTGGAAAGTAGTCCCAAATTGAAGTATTATGCCAAGCTCTTTACCCCTCCCTTTCCTCCCAAGATTTGTGCATCAATTTTAACTTATCAGGAGTCGAGTTCTCAAGTAGGGGGAAAATAATGGGACATGGAAAAAAAAATAATATGAGTTTATTATATTTCTAGAATATTTGAATTATCTAGGATATTTAGATTATTTAGATTTTTAGGATTTATTTAGATTTGTTAGTATTTTATTATTTTATTATTAGAATTAGTTGTTGTTATTATTTTCAGTTTTATTACTATTTTAGTATAAGTAACTTTAAGTTCTTATTAGATTTGCTTGTATTTCTTTTTTGTTATCTATTTTTTTATCATTCACTTTTTTGCTCCTAATTTGAATCAAAATAATGG